ATATATATATATATATATATGTATATAAACGGAAAAAAAAAGCAGCTATAAAGCAATGTAACACACTAAAAACAGAGTTTATTACAGGGCTGACTGTAAAATAAACCATCAACAATCAATGACTCATCTTAGCTGAAAATCATATTTTGAGCATGAAGAACAACAAAAACAAAAAAAGTTCAATCTCCCAGTTGGAGCTGCTGTGGCGCCACTGATGCTTCTGAGCTGCATGCAGGCCGACAAACCCCACCCCCACACCCCCACCTGCAAAGCGTTAACAGCCTGTGCGCGCTCACGCCGCCATGCACGGCTCTGTGCACGGATGATGCTCTCCATCAGCAGCCTCACCTCCTGCAGGCTCTCTGTCTGCTCGTTCTCGGAGCCGCTGCAGGACAACCCGCCGCATTATTAGCACAGTTATTAATATTATTAATCATATTAATATTGGCTCCACTGCGGGACTGATTGGGGGGGGGGGGGGGTGTCATTCATTAATGCCTGTATTCAAACTGCGATACAGGCTGCAATAAATGGAGAAAACAATCCCATCATCCAGCGCGGTGACAGGTAAGATCATGATGTTTTGTTTCAAATCAGGATTTATTTCTTTTTTATGACGGGATTTGAAATCAGACTCAGAGATGACGCAACTGATTTCCTCACGCGCCCTCCATGACTGCGCTTCTGTTTTGTTTATCCGCCAATATTTGATTTAAAAAATGCTCAGAGCGCCTTAAATCAGACAAACTGGATGCTTGTTTTTAGATGAAGCTCAATATCACCAGCAAACATGAACAAAAGGCGTTATTTGTGTTTTTGTTTTGTGTCTTATGTGTTGATTTCCACGAGCTGAGCTGCTCAGATTAATCTCTGGTAGGGTTTAAATACATTTTAAAAAATCCCTCAAAAAGGTGCTTTACTCTTTATTTTAGGAGCATAAAACATCTAGGTTTTCAGTTTACTTTAAGTTCATTCTCCACAGAGCCCAGTAATCAAACTGGATGTAATTAAAAAAAAAAAAAAAAGACTGGTCCTCCTGCACTGTTCAGTGCTTCATGGAGAATTTACTGGAAAAGACGGGAAGTAAAAACAAAGCTCTGTTTTACTTAAATATCTGTGTGTTTGTGACTGAGAGCATAAGAGTGTAAAACCATGCACTAAAGTCATAAAAGACCATCACTGTCCATTTAACAGGGTCAGCAGAAAAATCAAAGTAATTCACTTAATCAAGTGAACTGATGGGCTGACGGCTTGGTCTGCAGCGCACCTATCGATTCAGTGAATTTGTTAAATTAAACCTCATTTTGTAATAAAAGGTTTGAGACTGAAAGACGACATTTAAAGGGATGGACTCATTTTGAGGTTCATAAATTAAAACTGATGCAACAATATGCATCTATTTTATTTTGGTGCTTTAAACTGTCAGGGTTTTCAAGGCAGATCAGGACAGGAGAACCCAGTTGCGCAGGCAGGACTCAGGAGGCAGACGTATAAAATAAAATACTTTTAATAATAAATCAAAAGGCTGACATGACAGCAAAACTTACAACATGGACTCAAGAACAGGATCAGACAGGCAGAACAGGCAATACCCAACGACGAACCGACAACGACAGAACTGACAGACTTTAAATACACACAACCAGGACATGACACAGGTGACGATAATCAGATAATCAATACAGACACAAGGGAGAACAGACAGGGGGAAGGCCCACTAGATGGTGCCATCCCTACAGTACCCCCCCCCCCCCCCCAAGGG